TAAAATGTTGATAAGAAACATCGGGCCTCATTCACCAATCATTCCTACATAGAAATTTCTTCTTAAAACCTCATTACATAACTTTCACCAATGATTTCTTACTTTGGATTCATTTTTAGCTAAGAGCATTTGTACGCACTTTTAGCACTGACACGTTTGTTCAAAAGGATCGGTTATTGCATTTTCTTAAATTGTACACTGTATACTATTATTGCAAAGATATTTATATATCTCTTTATGATGCTTTTAAATAATTACTCTTTTGAAATAAATACTACATTAAGACTGCAATTTTTCATTGCAGAATGTAATGATATGGAAATCTCACAAACCCATATTTTATTCATAACAGAACACAGAAAACATATCAAATATTTAAACAGAGAAAAAGTATCATTTTAAGGAAAAAAATATGGGCTTTGATTCCTCTGTAAGCAGGACGTGGGTCACTAGACCACAGATGGTGTGTCACCTGCTCACAGATTCATCTAACAAATGCCTCCTTATCTGCCCTCAGAGCCCTCACAGCTGTCCTCCTCAGTTCCCGGTACAGACTGCAGTTGCCACCAAGTCATGAGCTACTACTCCTCTCGATATTATCCAATGCCAATCCTGCCACCAACCCCCAAAAATTGTTTCCCAGCAAGTTGCAGGACCGCTTGCAAGGCCGGATGCAGTTTAACGTCAAACCCAGGAGCTGATCCAGCTCTGATAATTCTGAGCAAGTCTGTCCCCCTGCACTGGTCTGCATCCCTCTTCAGTGTTTCCCAATATTTTTTTGTCTCACATTTTAAATCAAACCCTTCCTTTTTACTTCATCAGTCATGTGCCCTTGTCCAGATGCAGTGTCCATATGTAATAGCGTCCCCTACATCATTTTTGTGTTACTTTGTAACCACTACTGATGCTTCCAAATATTACAGATCGTTTGTGGTTCACTTCCTGCAGCAGTACCCCTGTCTCTTGCGTTTGAAGTCCACTCCATCGTCTTTAGATTCTCTCTCAACTTTCTCTTTGCCTATGGCCCCAAAGTCTCTTCCTTTTATGGACATTTATCCCATCCAGATAGTCATTGAATCACAGCTGGCCCTAGTATGGCCAGCACCTGCTGTTCCTCGTGG